TATGTAAGTTGCCGATCGTAGGGGGCTAAACTACATGGCTGGGACTCACGAGCAGCAGCTACCACAGCTCCTGCAGCTTCCTCCAATGTATTTGCTCGTGAGTCCTAGCCATCTAGTTTAGTTCTTTCCGCGCCGCGCGTAGCGGCGCAGGGGATACTCTCGGAGGTGGTACTATAGTCGGCGAATTTCAATATCGGTAAGTACTATAATTCCCTTATTTTCCTCATAATTTCCGTTCCGTATATTTCCCGAGTTACAGCTTTTAAATGTTTGTAGGGCAGGACGTAATGAGGCTCTGTTTGGGATTAACTTTCTGCTTAGTTCATTTAGAACCGTTTTTCCAAGTAGAGCCGGCATCTTTATTAAGGCATAATTTAGAGTGCGTTTGTTTCCCTAGCCCTACTGTGCCGTTTAACTTCAAACCCACACGGATCGTTACAACGCAACGAGTGACCAAAATTATGTGACACAAAGTGCCACTATTCGGATGAGGACCATCAGGGCATATCCCAGAAACCCTGTTCAACCTGCAGGTTATATTAGGGCCCCCGACTACAGTCGGACTTTTTAAGACTTTTTAAAATAATGAAAAACTGCGTCCCACATTGGGACGGCAAAATACGCCCCAGCTCAACTTCAACACACTTTGAACTTTGTTCTGTGGTAAGTACAATATTATTAATAATGACGTTTAACTTCATATATATGGGGACAAAAAGGAAGTTAAACCAACCGACTTCCATTCATCAACAATCGATTGCATGAGAAACAGAGCCGAACTTTCATATTGTTTGGAGACAACTTGAAATACTCTCCGTAAGTTTGCAAAACTTGTATCTTCCGCCATGTTGTTGTAATGTAAGGGACACAACTGTTTCCCCTGGGTAACAGAAGTTCGTACTTAGTTTCTTTCGTATCAGAAATTATATCATAACGGTCTGGCGAAAATATAGCAGCTGGGAGATACCACGGCGTCTGGCCGACATTCAACGCTTACAGAAAAGGCAAGGCGGACATAGAATCAGACTGCTACTGATAGCATCAGAATTGGCTGCTGAAGATGAGGACTATGAGCGTATGAGAGTTATCTCCAAATGATAATTATTCTGATTCTTAACTGGCCTCAACGCATTCATTTTCACATGTTACATTTTTTTTTACAAGACATCGCGAACCAAACCCGTATTGTGCTGTTTGTTTGCAAATTTACTATATAATTTTTACGTTCAGTGTCTGATCATATTCGTTCAAAAATGTACCGTTCTGATTCGTTTGGCATTGAAATATAGTAGTAGTAATAGCAGTAGAAGTGGTAGTAGCAGCAACAGTAAGGTTAGTAGCAGCAACAGTAGGGTTAGTAGCAGCAGCAGCATCAGTAGCAGCAGCAGCAGCAATAGTAGTAGTAGTAGTAGTAGTAGTAGTAGTAGTAGTAGTAGTAGTAGTACTGGTGGTGGTGGTGGTGGTGGTGGTGGTGGTGGTGGTGGTGGTGGTGGTGGTGGTGGTGGTGGTGGTGGTGGTAGTAGTAGTAGTAGTAGTAGTAGTAGTAGTAGTAGTAGTAGTAGTAGTAGTAGTAGTAGTAGTAGTAGTAGTAGAAGTAGCAGCAGCAACAGTAGTAGTAGTAGTAGTAGTAGTAGTAGTAGTAGTAGTAGTAGTAGTAGTAGTAGTAGTAGTAGTAGTAGTAGTAGTAGTAGTAGTATTAGTAGTAGTAGTAGTAGTAGTAGTAGTAGTAGTAGTAGTAGTAGTAGTAGTAGTAGTAGTAGTAGTAGTAGTAGTAGTAGTAGTAGTAGTAGTAGTAGTAGTAGTAGTAGTAGTAGTAGCAGCAGTAAAACGCCACCAAGATATGTTACACAATGCTAGCTCCAAGCTAGACTTTATGTCTGGAATCAGCCTCAACATGGCACCTTCGGATATGTTGCTCCTATCAGTAAGATTGGAGGATACAACAACGAGATTGTTATCGCCTCAGATAGGCAAAAGCTTAATCTCAACACCGACCTCAAACCGGCTTTTTACTACTACTGTAGTCGTAGTAGTAGTAGAAGTAGTATTAGTAGTTGTTGTAATAGTAGTAGTAGCAGCTGCAGCCCGCCGTAGCATCTTTTGTAGTAGTAGCAGAAGCAACAGCAGTAGTAGTAGTAGTAGTAGTAGTAGTAGTAGTAGTAGTAGTAGTAGTAGTAGTAGTAGTAGTAGTAGTAGTAGTAGTAGTAGTAGTAGTAGTAGTAGTAGTAGTAGTAGAAGCAGTATTAGTAGTTGTTGTAATAGTAGTAGTAGCAGCTGCAGCCCGCCGTAGCATCTTTTGTAGTAGCAGCAGAAGCAACAGCAGCAGTAGTAGAAGTAACACCAACAGCTGCAGAAGCCGCAGCAGCAGTACTCAGGGGACCTGAGAACCCAGGTTCCAGGTTATTGTGGTTGTGATAATAGCAGTATTTGATATTGTTGTAGTGCTGATATTGTATTAGTGGTGGTGGTAGTTGTTGTTGTTGCATTCGTGGTAGTGTATTAGTGGTGGTAGTAGTTGTTGTTGTGGCTTTGGTGGTAGTAGTAGTAGTAGAAGTAACAGTATTAATAGTAACAGCAGCAGCAGCAATAGTTGTTCTTGTTGTTGCTATGGTAGTATTGTAGTAGTAGTTGTAGTGGTAGTAGTATTAGAACAGCAAGGACTGAATTCACGGAACTGTGATTAAATAGCTTAACGAAAAAGAGAAGAGGAACAACGTACACATACAAAACAAAAAGACATTTCGGCTGGAGCATGGCTCGACATTAATCACAACAGCCTAATGGTAGTAGGAGCAGCAGCAATAGCAGTAGAATTGTTAGTGGTGATAAAAGTTGTGGTTCTTGTTGCAGTAGTAGCAGAAGTGATGAAAGCTGAATTGATTTGGTGGTGGTGGTAGTAGTAGCAGCAGCAGTACTAGCAGCTGCAGAATCAGTAATAGTATAGTATAGTACTAATTTGTAAAACTTTTTTTAAAATAAACATGAAAGTGATCCATTGTTACACATAATTTATTTATTCGATGATAAATTTATATACATCACTTTTCAAATATTAAACACAGTATATATACACTCAACACAACAGCAATAAGTCATTACAAATTTACAAATAAACGAAACTATTTTTGTACGTATCAGATTCAAGCACAAAGTGATATATTTGTACCAACATAAGTGGATATGGGTGGTGCGAGGTGGTTGGCGACCGGGTCGCCCATTAGCTCGCCGGTAGACGACTTCTTCGCTGCTCAGGACAGTATTTGGGTCTGTCTGCTTTGATCGCATCCACACCGCAGGAGTATTTTTCAGGGCTCTTGACGGCGTGCAACGCTAAGTCATTTTTTGTAGCGCACATTATCTAGTCACAAATTAAACCTAGTGCTACCGCCCCTTCGGGGATGTTGGTTGAACGTGAGGATTTTTTTTTTCTTCAGCGAAGCAGAGGATCGGCGAGGTGGTTTACTGACCTCATTTCATTTGCTTGTCTGACTGACAAGGGTGTTGGGAAAAAAAATGTATGAAACAAAGGTAGACCTGCTACCTGGTTGCATAAAACATGACCGTTTCAAAATGTCGTGATTGCTTAACAAACATATGTTAATATATATATGTTAATATTAATCTTATTCGATCTATTATGTATGGAATGTTAATTCGCGCTTTCATTCAGTTAAACTATTCTTACATTAGTGAAATACAGTCTGATTCTAATTAGTTAATGAAATGTTCAAACCATTCATTCATTTGTTACTTCGTTCCTTTTAACATGACTTGTAGGACCACTGAATAAGTGAACACAACATAAATCTAGGAAGCAGACACTCACACCCATACGCATGCACATACAAACACACACACACATGCACAAACACACACACATACGTTGGAATTCGATGAAGGAACATTACATGGCTATCCTAATCCGTGCAAATAGACATGTTGAATACTGACATTAATTCCATAAAATAACAGATGCTGATGATTACGATACTCAGTTTGTTACTTGTTACATCTTACATATGATATGAACACACTGGCCTATGTTGCCTTATCCAATCCGGCTAAAAATCACTGCATTCCGAAAGATTTCCAAACCCCTCAGACAGGTTCTATGGAAATAAAATATATCACATAAAACAAAGAAATCTTAACATACCGAAATTATCACTGAGTTTTGGGAAGAGAATAAGAAATCTAGCGAAAAGCTTAGTTCCGTTGAGTTATGAACTGACAAAACTCGGGACATTCCTATAAGTTCTCCGTCCCCATCTTCAGCAGACAGTGCGAAGTCCCATTCCATTCGATGGAGTTCACTGTATGTTTGTCCTTCTTTTCCCTGAGTGTTGTGTCGGCTAGTCTCCTGGTCACTCCCAGCTGTCCGATTTTCTCCAGAACGTGATGATAGATTTGTGCCCCCTGCACTGTTTACCAAACATTATCTCTCCATGTCTTCTTGGTCTGCCTCGTGGTCTACGACCATTCATCTCCCTTGTATACACAGCTTTTAATTCTCTGTCATCTGACATTCTTTCACTATGCACAAACATTTCAGAGACCTCACCAATCACTTATGACAAATTGTTCTCAACGTCATAGCATTGGCCATTAAAATCTCTACGTGTGTAAAATAACGGATACTCAAACTTTCGTAAACAATTATTATATCAATGATCAAACAAACCGTTTCTTTATTAATATCTTACCTCAGATGACGTCACAGGACAGTCCAACATTTCAGAGGGTGGTAAGGCTGGGTTTCCCGGCTTTCTGATGCTTGTAACGACCCCAGAACATCTAGAACTGGCCCTAACCCCAACCCACCTACGTCCCAGGAGAGAGTGCAGCCTAGGTCCCACGAATGCATGCAGTCTAGGTCCCAAGACTGCATCCAGCCTATCTACCACCCCCTGAAATATAAGACTGGCCAGTGACCTGTGGATTTCCCCTGTTTGGGGTAGGATATTAACAAAGCACCAAACAAACATATAAAATGAAACCAGTTAGTATTTTGTGATGAGTCCCTTGAGAATGTAAGCTTGCTGGTCAGCCACCATGTTCCGGTTGTTGCACAAATCTCCCGAGCAGAAGCAGTAGAGTTCCTGGTTGTGTCGAATACAGCCGTCATAGGGGACACGGAATGGGAAGTAGTAGTTTGTGGAGCAAGCCCGGTACACCTCTGTGGGAGACAGAAGGATCATAATAGTAGTGGTTATATATGTATTTAGTAGTAGTTGTTCTAGGAATGGTGATGGTAGTAGAAGTATTGGTTGTTGTTGTTGTAGTAGTAGTAGTAGTAGTAGTAGTAGTAGTAGTAGTAGTAGTAGTAGTAGTAGTAGTAGTAGTAGTAGTAGTAGTAGTAGTAGAAGTAGTAGTAGTAGTAGTAGTAGTAGTAGTAGAAGTAGTAGTAGTAGTAGTATTAGTAGTAGTAGTGGTGGTGATGATAGTTTTTTTTTAATAGTTTACTTGAAAATACTTCTGTGCTGTAAAGTATAGTAAAAGTAAAGTAAAGATCCCTTTTCATGCCTTGGCGCATCTAGCATATAGGAAGAGCATCCCATATTTTACAGACCAATCATCACTAGGTGGGTAATGTGGTCAGCATGACGGCCGACCGTTTTTACTTCTCCAGGACAGCCATCCTGGTACTCATTTTAGGCTGGGCCAACCTGCGACGCCTGATACCATGATAAAAATCCACTCAGCCCGCAGTGGGTTTTGATCTCGGTACTTTGAAATTTACGAGTCGGACTCGCAACGCCTAAGCCACGGACACTGCACTGATGAAAAGTTTTCTTTTTTTCAAAAGGAGGATTTTCCGTAAAACTTCAAAGCACTGTAGCAGTTATATATATATATAAAGGTTGTTGCGTATCCTTTACAGGACGTTGCAGAACCAACCCTAACAGCCCCTGGCTGTTGTGTGGTTTCTCTAGGCAAATTACGTCCAGTAGTTTGCCATTGCTTGCTGGACGGTCGGCTTTCTTGATACCACTGTCGAAACCAACGCAAGGCGCATTGCCCGCAGCTGGGATCGAACCCGGCATCCCGGCATTACGAAGCGAAGTGTTCGCATCGACTTAGCCACAGAGCCGACATGTATATATATATATATATATATATATATATATATATATATATATATATATATATATATATATATATATATATATATATATATATATATATATATATATATATAGTCATACAGTGCCATTGTATTTCACATAGGATTTGCAGTCTGCTTCTCCATTTCTTTCCATCATGAGCAGTCATTTAGATATCATGTGTGGAATCCAGTTCAGCACCTTTGGCCTCTCCCATCAACGTTCACTTCATGGTTTGTGTTGGAAGTCCTCATTTCCTCAAATCCCCAGTTTCCCAGTTTGAGGGTGTGTTTATATATAACTAAATACGTATATGTATGTGTGTGTGTATGTGTGTGTGTGTAGACTTGTATGTATGTCTTAGAAATACAGATGAACAGACACAATAATTAACCATCGCTCACCTCCTTTGGGAAATTTTGTGACAACAGATACGCATGGTCCATCGCAAGCAACTGGCAAAGCAGCCCATCCGTGGATTTTCCCACTGGATGGACACATGGGGTTCAGCCAGTAGCCGACAGTACCGCTATGGCATTCGTAGCAGTGGAAAGGTGCTACGTGGGGGCTTTTTGTGGTGGGAGCAGGGGTCTCTTGTGGGGTAGTAGTTTCAGCTTCAGGCTCTGGTTCTGGGGTCGTTGGTGGTGAGGTGGTAGTTGTGGTTGTTTCTGGTTGTGGTGATGACACCTCTTCTGAATTAGCCTCTGTTGTTGGTGACGCCTGTGGTGTCGTGGAAGGCTCTTCTTCTGAGCTAGGTTCTGGTGTTGTAGCATCAGAAGAAGTTGTTGAGACTTCTTCTGAAGAATCAGCCTGTGGAGTTGTGTCTGGGGATGTGGTTGAGATCTCTTCTGAAGAATCAGCCTGTGGAGTTGTGTCTGGGGATGTGGTTGAGATCTCTTCTGAAGAATCAGCCTGTGGAGTTGTGTCTGGGGAAGTGGTTGAGATCTCTTCTGAAGAATCAGGTTGTGGAGTGGTGTCTGGGGATGTGGTTGAGATCTCTTCTGAAGATTCGGCCTGTGGAGTAGTGTCTGGAGAGGATGTTGTGGCTTCTTCTGAAGATTCGGCCTGTGGAGTGGTGTCCGAGGAGGATGTTGTGACCTCCTCTGAAGAATCAGCCTGTGGAGTGGTGTCAGGAGAGGATGTAGTGACCTCTTCTGAAGAATCAGCTTGTGGGGTGGTGTCTGGAGAAGATGTTGTGACTTCTTCAGAAGACTCAGCCTGTGGGGTGGTATCTGGGCCTGCTGTATTCACTTCTTCGGAAGATATTTCTGGCGTTGTCAATTCTGGTGGACCCATCGTGACTTCCTCTGAATTTGCCTCTTGTGTTACTATATCTGTCGCCATTGTTGAGACTTCTTCTGAAGATCCGGCGCCCTGTCCTGTAGACTGCGTCAGTCTTTGCAGTAAATCCCAAGGGAATTCTGGATTGGAGAAAAGAGACTGTTCGCCTGCCATTTGACCCCATGATTGTTCTCCTCCCATCTGACCCCATGATTGTTCTCCTCCCATTTGACCCAAAGACTGCCCAAGTGCAGCAGATTCCTGCGTTGTCCCAGCTTCTCCCGAAGCAGATCCTGGCATCAATAAATCTGTTAAAGTTGGCATTTCTCCTCCAAATAAATCAGTGGGCGAGAAAGCACTAGCAAGTCCATCGAAAGCTGATCCCCCAAAGAAGCTTCCAAAGTCTTCAGCTTCACGCCTGGATCTAGATACAATGCTCTCTCCTGGTGTAACCGGATTTCCCTTGACACTCTGGACTGCTGATCCGCTTACAGGACAAATGGCTTCTCTATAAGGCAGCAGCAGAACGGTTAGAGATTCTTTCAGGATGCCCTCAATTTCCGCAGCACAGGATGTCCTAGTTGCTTCAACAGCACAGTTGACATAGGCATCGAACATCCTGGAATAAGTAACAGGGCGGAGTTTAAGATTCGGGTGAGTGAGTGGTTGAGTTGTTAGAATGTCGAGCTATCAACTCTGGTAAGCCAGATGTTGTTTATTGTTTATATCCCCTGTGGCTTTTACTTTAAATCTGCACCTGGCTCATTTTTTTAAACCAATAGTGGTGTCATTTAAACGCTGATGTCCTGTTCAAGTCATGTGGGTTACAACCGGAGGTGCTCTATTAATATCCTATCCCAAAAATGGGAAATCCACATGTCACATAACAGTCTAATGTTTCAGTGGGTGTTAGATAGGCTGCATGCAGTCGTTGGACCTAGGCTACACACTCTCGTGGGATGTAGGTGGGTTGGGGTTAGGGCCAGTTCTAGATGCTCTGGGGTAACAGTATCAGAAACCCAGTCTTACCACACTCTAAAATGTTGGGCTGTTCTGTAACATCATCTGCGGTAGAATATTACGACAGAACCCAACCAGGAATATAGGGGATTTACCCCCTTTTTTATGTTTCAATTTTATCTTTTTTTTTAAAGTAAAAGACCTTTTCTTCTTATTTGCTAATCGTGCATTTATTGTTAGACATGCATTTTTATAGACCAATCGACTCTTGATGGGTTCTGTAGTCCACACTACGCTGGCTGCCTTTACTTCACAGAACATTACCTGCTACCAAGGCTTGGTCGACTTGATTAGGGCCTTTGGAAACCAAGGTCAGTTTTGGGGAATCCAGTCCATCTTTGTGGATTTGAACTAGAGACCTTTCTGCCCGCAGGCGACCTCTAACCACTAGACTATCGAGGGTCCTGGTGTTCATTCGGTGTTTATTTATTGGTCATGATTGAAGATATGGAAACGTATGACAACTATTCAGAAAGAGAGAGAGAGAGAGAGAGAGAGAGAGAGAGAGAGAGAGAGAGAGAGAGAGAGAGAGAGAGAGAGAGAGAGAGAGAGAGAGAGAGAGAGAGAGAGAGAGAGAGAGAGTTAAAGACATCGTCCAGAGAATAAGAAATGCGGTAACAGCGTTCAGAAGGCAATGAGCAGTGGGACTTAGCAACTACACGGAGATAAGAACTTCGCGGTCAATTATGATGCCCAACATGACAACGATGATGATTATGATGGTTAATTGCGACGCTCAGCTAAACTCAGCCCGGTAAACTTCTGTGAGAGAACAGAGAACTATAAAAGTAGCATGGTAATATATTGATAAATAAATTATTTAAAAACAAATATATTGGACATCAATAACAGATCAAGCAGACGCAACAATACAGACAAAGGACAAAGGGCTGTGAACCTAGCAAGTACACGCAAATCAGATCTTCGCGGTCAAATATAACGTTCAGCATGATACATGATGATGATGATTAACCTTCACTCTCAGCAAAACTTGTGATCGTGACACATCTAATGGAGAAAAAATCTGAAGATTTCCAGAAAATCTAAAAGTTAGAGGAAGACTCAGACTTAAATCAGTAAAACAGTTTATTTAAGATCAGCAAATGAGATGGATGGACGATCTGGCTGGAATATCCTGGCATCAACTTCCACATGGAGGCACAGAGCAAATGGAAGACCTTGCAAGATATGGAACAAAAACATCAAGCACAGTCTTAAAGATTTGACGACAAACTTATACAGCGCATTCGAAAGAGGACAAATCAACTCTGATGTAGTAACACGAAGAAGTAAAGAAAAATAAAAAAAACATCAAATCAAGGCTCGGTACTTTATTAATATTCTATCCAAAACAGGGGAATCCACAGGTCACTGGACAGTCTAATAGTTCAGGGGATGGTAGATGCGCTGCATACAGTCGTAGGACCTACACTGCATGCAGTCGTGGGACCTAGGCTGCACTCTCTCGTGGGATGTAGGTGGGTTGGGACAGTTCTAGATGTTTTGAGGTCGTTAAAAGCATCAGAAAGCCAAGAAACCCAGTCTTACCACCCTCTAAAATGTTGGACTGTCCTGTGACGTCATCTGCGGTAGCATAATAATAAAGAACCCAAGGCTCTACTCACTTGCAACCGTCCACGTCTCTTGCAGACAGGGCCAGTTTCTGTCTGCATTCCTTGAGATCTCTAACGACGTGGGCGTGTGACAGACACGGCTTCAGTCCGAGGTAGTCTGTGAACAAGGTGGAATCAGTACAGTCATGGATTGTTAGCCGTAGACAAGCACAGAAGCAGAGTGAACTCTTTCTATCCTAAACAACGCACCATGTAAGCTCAGCTTATATCTATGTTTATTCGACGGATCAACGTCGTGGCCCACAAGTACAACCCATAAATGCTCCTTCTTCTTCTAACTCAAGCCTGAGTATACAGATTCTCAGCGCAGTGCACGAACTCCGTTGCACCGACGAGGATCCTGAAAACCTTTGGGTAGATATTTAACTATACAATTTGCCCAGGCAGCACTGTTAGGCTACTCTTTTCGATTTCCAGCTGACGATGTTTTTTAGGTGTGCAACAATAAACATTGGGCGTCCGATCCTGCTACCCAAAGACAATGGGGAATTACTAGAAGTCCACGTGAAAATAAAAATTCCAGCCTTCGCCAGGGCTTGAACCCGGGACCTCCAGCACCACAGGCGGACACAATACCTCGAGATCACTCATTATATTTATGTGTATTAACGCAACACATGCGGTGTTATTATTTATTTCCTGTTTGGTCTGGGTATGCAAAAGAAATCTGACCAAATATTTTCAGTGCAGCACAGTTTATGCTGTATCTTTGAAAGTCATACATTCATGCCCTTTTCATCTTGATTATTGTGCCAAATTAGATTTATAATTTGAAACCATGTGGAACTGAAAGATTTATGGAGGAAGATTGTGTAGTGGCTAGTCGCCCACTTGCCGGCCAGAAAGTCATGGATTCGAATCTCCATCGAGTCGTGTTTTTTTAAATGACATTATTTTGCAGATCAACCAGCTACACACTAAAACGAGGTAAAGTCTTGGGAAGTCAAGGCGACCGTCGTGGTGTTGATCACATCCCTCACTGGGCTACAAAAATATGCATCTAGCGGCATGTGCCCGTTAAAACACAAACGTACTTTTACTGACTATTTGTCAGTAGAAAGAAGTGATTATCGGACGAGACACTAGGCAGCAGAAAGGGGTACAAATGAGAGGAGGTACTACACAGCAGAAGTAAGTGCTTATCCAAATAAAACCTAAAACAATGAAAGAATTATAACTCACAAGAAGCAAGTTAGGGGGAGGAATATCTCTAAAGACATATGCTCAACAATAGACATATGTTTTTGTATCTACATGCACATTCGATATGCATCTACCATCTAGGAATAGGTCTCTCGTAAACTAAGCGGCCGTGAAACTGAGTCGAATGGATTTTACTGTAAGATGTAGCGAAGCAATGCAACAATACTTACTATTGTAGCCCTGAAGTGTGCAGAAATATCTGGAACCCTTGATAATGGCGTCGAAGGTCAAGAGTTCATGGATTCGGCATGCTGGTCGTTGGAGGGAGTTGCTGCATGTGCCAAGTTCATCGGCGAGGCTGTTGAAGGGAAGTCAGGAGTTAGTTCACTGTGTTCGTTCGTGACAATTTGTCGATGAAGTAGCGATAGTGGAAATGTAACAGCACTTATGGAAATGAAATAGCGATGATGGAAATAAAGTGACGTCAATCGAAGATGACGGTGTTCTGTAGAGTTGCCATATTTTGATCTTCCGAAATGAGGTCACGTCTCCCAACATTAAATTCAATATAAATTGTGTTCTATATATATTTTTCTGATGACTGATTTTGTGTGAAATGTTTGAAGGTAAATTTTACTAGTGAAATTTACTTGAGTGAATCCATACTACGACTGTTTGTCTCATTTGGCTATTGGGCATGGAGTAGAGAAACTATTTTCTTTCTACCTGTTTTGTGTGTTGGAATAGCAAAGAACAAATGTGCAATCTCTAAGATTTAAGAGTACATTTAATTACCCCTACAGCTTTCATTATAGTCACATAACGTTAATTTTGTTTTGACTTGAGCATATTTCGCAGTATCTTGTCATGTGCATTACTAGTGACAAGTCAACGCTTACTAAAGCACAAACATACAATTTACCACAAATTCAATAGACAGCTGCTAAAACTGGCTGAAGCCATATCAATAAAACTGAACTCACCTGTTTTATGTAAACAAAAAGAGCACATGATAAATTTGACGATACTGTGATAATCAAGAGGCTGATCTGTACAAATTTAATATTTTATGTATTCCAGAAAAATAGGATGTATTTTTGTGCTTTATTATATGTTGATTTAATTCTTTAGTAATGCACCCGACGAGATGCAGCGAAATATGCCAGACAATAAATTATGTAATCTATTGTTTGCGTCTGTTTTATTTGAATTAACAATTAACGCCATAGAAAATTCTTTTTGGCAGTCAGTGGTGAGGCATGCAGGCTTTATGACCTGCCCAGCAAAGTTGTGATTGTTTTAGAATCGAGTGAATACTGGACAGTCCAGCTCTGACAAGGACTTCAGTGTCAGGATCCTGTCTTGCCACTTAATGTTCACTTACTTTGTGAGGCATTCTGTGGGGAAATGGTTCAGCTTCTTAGCATGTTACTGGTAAACGGTCCATGTTTCACAAGCATAGAGAAGTGAATAAAGTATATCAGCTTTGTACACTTTGAGCTTCGTCTGCAGGCTGATGCCAGCTCCATTTTAGACTTGTGTACAGTCTACTAAATGTGTTGCTGGCTGTGGGT